AATAGATAGTCGTTTGATATGAAATGTAGCGATTAGTATACTGGGTCAAACAAAACATGGCGCTTGTTCATGTCCCGACGAACGGGCCTGTTGTAATCGAATGACCAGTCATCGGCCGCCCATTAGCCGAGACCTCTATCGACGATAAAATTATCTTTGATATGCACTATTTAATAAACAATAAAAATATACAAACACCAGAACTCAAACGTATCCTATCCTGACTTAAGTAAAGGCTGTTTAAAAAATAAAAACAACATTCTACTTGTTTTAAATCAGTATCAACCAAAAGTGTGAGAACAATTTATAAAATCACATATCGCAAAATAAGATCTGAACTAAGATACATCATAACAAGTATGCGATGGCAAAAAAAAAATTACTGCTCATTTTCAATTAATTTCTAATGAAAACGTTTCAAAACAGGTGGGCGAGTATCAGGTGACACCCAATTATAATTCAAGGTGATGACAAGCCTGCGGATAGTCTGTCGACATTGACAATTTTCACTTAGTTCCAAAACATTTTAAAAATTTTACAAACTACATTTACTGCTGACTATTGAGTAACTTGATATTATGAGTTGCTAGTCATTCCTCGTATGGACAATAAATTAAATATGTAATAAAAAACGAATGACATAACTCATATTTATTTATTCACATCATAGACAAATGATTCCATTTTCAAAAAGTATATAAAAAAAAAAATATCATGATGCATAAAAACTATTTGCCTTTTGGCCATTTCTAACTGAAAAGCTTTCTGAAAAGCAAAATCTAAGCTATTTTTTTTTGCGTTTAGATCAAGCAACTTGATATAAAATAAACTAGGTTTGTTTTTTCTAAAAACTCACCTAAAGCCATTTACAACAGTCCGGGTGCAAAGGCTGAAGGTGTTCGATTACACATCGGTTGTGCTATTTCTAAAAAGCTTGTTTTCACAGCGGAGCGCTCTTAAGTAGCGATTCGTAACTTAACACCGCGACATTCGGTTCAGGCAACGTGCCAAATGTATTCATTTAGGTACTAATGCGATTTAATTGTGAATCGTTGGCATTCATTGATATAGCTGATGGTATTACTGGTGGTAGGACCTCTTGTGAGTCCGCGCGGGTACCACCGCCCTTCCTATTTCTGCCGTGAAGCAGTAATGCGTTTCGGTTTGAAGGGTGGGGCAGCCGTTGTAACTGTAGAGCTTATATCTCAAGGTGGGTGGCGCATTTACGTTGTAGATATCTATGGGCTTCAGTAACCAGTTAACACCAGGTGGGCTGTGAGCTCGTCAACCCATCTAAGCAATAAAAAAAAAAAGCTATGTGCTTATTTAACGATCACAGATTCGGTCTGTTGACTATTATCTACTAAATAAATCAGTATTACTTTTGGAATAAAATCGGACTCTCATAAATACCAGAGTATTTCGCAAATTATTTTAACTATCGTTTTTTTATAGACTTACGATTAAGTTATAATTATGTAATGTATTTGTAGGGATATCGGTTTGATTGTTTCTGCGACTGTATAATTTGATCCGTGCTTTCCTTTGGGAATACAAACCGGAGATAAAATTTCACATCGATAATAAACGCCACAAAAAAGTGTCTCCCGTGGGTGATACAGCCGTTTAAGATAAGTATCTGACCCTAGCCCGTGTCCCGGCGTGGCATGCAACGAATTCACGATGTGCATTCCAAACTTGTGTTTTTATTTCCATACTCGAGACTTGACATAGCCAGTACCACAAAAGATTCGGTGGTTTTTTAGCTTTTGTACATACAAATAATTACCAAAGGATGCATTAATCTGAAACACTTATATAATCAAGACTCGGTCATAGTGCCGATAAGATAAATTAAACAGTTTTATTTTTGTTTCTTTATTATCTATCTCCTATATATACAGGGTGGCCCATAAGTCCTTTGATATGAAAAAAAATTATTAAAATAAAACTAATTACATTATGAATTAAATTTTTATTTACATAAAAAGCTTAAAAAACGGGAATTATTTTTTGAAAATAACATCTCCTAAATGTAATCCGTTGCGATCACGGCACTCTTGCAAACGACGTCTAAAATTGTCGATGACTGCGCGGCACGTCACTGCTGAAATGCTTGTCATTTCTCTGCGGATGTTTTCTTTTAGGGCCTCAATTGACCGCGGGTTTGTGTCGTATACTTTAGCCTTAAGGTAGCCCCACAAAAAAAAATCCATCGGGGTCAGATCTGGACTACGTGGAGGCCAGGAAATGTCTCCTCTCTTAGAGATAACTTTGCCAGGAAAAAGTTGACGGATAACGGGCATAGCAGTGTTAGAGGTGTGAGAAGTGGCCCCATCCTGTTGAAACCACGTCCTGGCATTAAAGCCTGAAAAGTTTTGCAATTCTGGTATGAAAAACTCTTCGATCATAGCCACATATCGCTCCGACGTAACAGTAACTGCGCGCCCTCTGCCATCCTCAAAGAAGTAAGGCCCTAGGATACCATGGGCTGACATAGCGGCCCAAACAGTCACTTTCGGACTATGTAAGGGCTTCTGATGCTTAAGTTTTGGATTGATGGGGCTCCAATAGCGGCAATTTTGTTTACTAACATGCCCGTTAAGATGGAAATGAGCCTCGTCAGAGAACATTATGTTATTGAAGGAAGTAAACCGATTCAACATTTCATTCGCATAATTTTGTCTTTGAATACCGTCAGTTTCCTTTAATTCTTGAACCAACTGAATTTTGTAAGGGTGCATATGTAAATCTTTCTTCAAAATCCGTTGTAACGATGTCCTGGATACGTTTAATGCTCTGGCGCGCTTACGAGTTGACTGTGTCGGATTTTCGCGAATAGACTGTGTCACTGTGTCTATGTTTTGTTCCGTACGTGACGTCCTTGGGCGACCCAACCGCGGTTTATCTAACGTCGAACCGGTCTCCTCGAACTTAGCAACCCAGTTCTTAATCGTTTGAAGAGTTGGAGTGTCGTCAAAGTTGTGTAAACCTTTGTGTTCTCGAAATTTACGCCGCGCAACGGTTGCCGAATTGTCGTTTTTATAAAACTCGCGCACACAAAATGCACGGTCCGCTCCGGTAAAACGCTCCATCGCGACTAAATTCCCAGAAACCGAAGTTACTCCCCCCGCTTCCCCTGCACCGCTCACGCGCGCCCTGTTCGTTTTATTCAAATTTTACTTTTCAAAGGACTTATGGGCCACCCTGTATAAAGAAAAATGAATTTCTGTTCGTTAGTCTCGCTAAAACTCTAGAACGGCTGGACCGATTTGGCTAATTTTGGTCTTGATTTTTTGTGGAAGTCCAGAGAAGGTTTAAAAAGTAGATAGGTAAATATGAAAATTCTCGGAATTAAATAAAAATAACAATTTTATTTTTCCTTTGATGTCCCCCCCGTCGGACGGATTCCTTTTGTTTTTTTTTTAATTTATTTTATACAAAAGCTTAGGTCTTTTATTTATCGATTGAGGCACTACGCAGTCTGCCAGATCAGCTAGTTTTTAGGATAACAATTTAATGTCACATGTTTTTTTTTTAGTGTTACAAAACTGCGTTTGAGCTTGTTGATATGTCAAAATTTAAAAAGCGTGGGCACGTGCGAAGACAACACGCTGCCTCTTAATAGAATTTGTCGCTGGCCCTTTTTTGTGTTGAAGATGAGAACGCCCGATTAGTAATTAGACGGACGACACATGTTTATAAATCTTTTATCTCGTATTAAACTCATTAATGTTTCGGTATTGAGATCTTTTTATTTTAACGAGAAACAAAATGACATCACGAATCGTTTTTATAACTTTTAAAAGACTTTGAAGATTCACGGATCGCGGTACTTCTCCGAATAAGAATGATACTCAAATATTTATTTGCTTCATTTGTAACGAAGTATCAATTTTGGAGTTCACAAAAAATTGTAAGGGTGTATTAGCTTATCGAAGGCGAGCTGCCGAACGTATGATACATTCATTGAGTAGTTTGGTAACAGTAAGGGAACGCCTAAAAGCTGTATTATTGGAGCGTTAACAGACACTTGAGATTAGCATCTGTGCATTCTCGAGGATATTCAAGTTTCGAACACAATACGTGAGATTATAAGCACCGAGGTTTATTTGTAAACACCACAATACATTGTTGTGCGGTCACATCGAACGCATCACCCACTTGTGACGTATTTTATTGAATGGTATCGAACACTCATTTCACATGTTTCGGTGAACACGTGAAGATTTTGTAAACATAAAAACGGGCGCGAGAAACTAGAACATTAGAAAAAAAATGTTTTGTCAAATATTTTCTGTGATGGATTGTCGGTTTTTTTTTTTTTAAATATCATCATGTTAAGCATGGTTCGCACAATTCGAAAGGGAATGCTTTGTCAATTTTTATTCTGTTTTAATTTTAAAATTTACTAGAGATGTTTTCTGCTCATAGAATCGCCGAAGACAACATCTATTTTAAATAATATGTTCTATAGTTTATTGTACATCTGAATAATTTGTTCAATCACAAACTTATCTAAATCGAAGAGAACGTAGCGTAGCCTGAATGGCATTATCTTAACTATAAAATTTGTTAGATCGAATGTGAACTCTCAAAATTTCCAGTTAAAGTTCAAAATCCTTTATTTACGACCATATCAGGTTAAGTTACGACAATGTGACAAAGTCTTCTTATAAATATGATTTATTGTCGTGTTAAGTATCCCGTGCAATTGTTGTGAATATTTATTTACGCTCGTAAACTATAAACAACGAGCAAATCTGGTTATTTATGGCGTGATTGGACATTCGCGCACTGAATTCACTCTCTTTATTCTTTGATCGAGAATAATGTGGTTTACGGCTACCGGTTTCTGATCTATTGCAGTCTTGTTCAACGGATCCTATATTAAGGCACAAAGCGCTGAGGCGGTAGTCGCCACTTCGGCATTCACAACACCAAAGCTCCCTTAATCTTCAACGAAATGATATAACTTGAAATCGTTCTTTTCTTTTCAGGCGAAAAACCGTTCAAATGCGAATACGCCGGGTGTGATCGAAGATTTGCAAATTCATCGGATCGAAAGAAGCATTCGCACGTGCACACGTCGGATAAACCTTACAACTGTCGGATCCACGGCTGTGACAAGTCATACACGCACCCGTCTTCGTTAAGGAAACACATGAAAGTGCACGGAGCTGCCGGAGACACTTCCCCTAGGTACGACAGCGACGGTGATGACTCATCCTCAGCCGGCAGCGTCAGCGTAACAGCCGGCGCCGCCAGCCCCACTGTGCCACTTCCTCCTGCCGCCCAACCAGCGCACCCGCCATCCGGTCACCACCCCCATCACCAACCAACCATAACGGATAAATTAGAAAGCCTCAACGAAAAATACCTCAATCCCCACGATCAGAAACCTTACGAGCGACCGCCAGCGCCCCCACATCATAACCAAGGCCCGCACTTAACGAACATAGGCGGCAACGGGGTCATGGATAATAAAATAGGGTTCGGCGGTCATTGGAGTCAGTTTCAGCAACCGGCGCCGGCGATGCCTCACGGGGTACCAGAGTGGTGGTGTCCCACGCAGGAATCGTACCACCATCACCATCTCATGCATCACTCGGGTGCCGCGGCCGCATACTGACCTCATCGCGCTTAGGAAACTCTTCATTCGACGTTATGTTAATTTTCCATGTCATATTTCACAAATTATCTCCATTTAAATCAACCCCTGACGTGGAATGAAAAGTTTACTAAAGCGCTGTGTGGTTTTTTATTTTAATAGGGAGTGTTACGCTTATTACTGAATAACGAATAGTCCAAGTTAATTCCGACCATTTCTACAAAATAGAAACCAAAACGTCAGCCGTCCCAATGTGTTAAGAATCCTCATTTAAAAAAAAAAGAGTTATCTATGTATTTCGAGAAATAAGACAAAGAGGTCGCTTACTATCAACAATAGAACTTCGTGACAAATCTAAGGTTCGTTTGTGATAATGATTTAAAGCGTGAGCTAAACAATCGCCTTGTTTTACATTTGCAATAAATTTTCCGTAAACGTTCACGTAAGAATGGCAATGCTTGATTTTGTTTTTGTGGAAAATTATTCATTGTTATTCTAAGTATTGTCCGTTAGATCTATTTGTGATGTAAGGGACTCGGTTACACAGCGTAAATTGTCAACTTCTTTGCTGACAATGATTTATTGCATGTTTTTGTGGAGGAGACAACGAATACGCGGACAAACGGTATTGTTCGAAATTTTGAAAATTCTCAGTATCGTTTGGTGATGGTTTTTTTTTTTAAATGAATTCATTACGCCGTCTAAAAAGATACTCTGTGCTGTTTTAATAAAACCTTTTTTTATTCCTATCGCACTGGCCAAAGCACAGATAACTAATGAAAATATCGTTTGGTGATGGTTTTTTTTTTAAATGAATTCATTACGCCGTCTAAAAAGATACTCTGTGCTGTTTTAATAAAACCTTTTTTTTATTCCTATCGCACTGGCCAAAGCACAGATAACTAATGAAACTACGATTTATGGGTTGTAAAGAATAGTACATGTAATTTTTTTAGTTACGATTACTTATAATATAAAATGTTACTGTTAAGAGAAAATATCCAGTGATAGTAGAAATAAGGGTTTGTAAGTAATTTTATTGTAATTTAATACACTCGTGAAATGTGGTTGCTATTTAACTGTGCTATTCATTACTGTAATTACGTGAGCTCGTGTATAATATTTATAATATAAAAGTAATGCTATTTTTTCACACAACGAACGAAGTTTATACTAAACTTTGTACCTCTGCGTACTTACTGACTGAAGAAAAGTGTACGAAGTCTGTTATTATTAAGAAAACGAATGTTGCCTTTACTATGGCCCTGTAAATAGCGAGAAATAAATATAAAGAAATTTGAATGAATACTTTTTTTTGTATTTACATCTATGTGCCATTGTTTTATTCACCCGTTAAAACTCACCGGTCACCTTGTGTAAAACGATCAGCGCGGTCCAAAGACCCACAACGTGCCACCACCCATTTTGAGACAAGAAGTCGAAATCTCAGCTGCATTAAAATGCCTATCGTGCTCTTTAATCAGTGGGTTGACCTGTGCAGACTCGCACTCATACAACTAAGTCCCATAGACACAGTCCACTAAGTTTCTCGCCGCATCTTCTTAGTGGGTCGCGATTCCGATCCGGTGGTAGATTCTGCGAAGCACTGCTCTTGTTAGGGCTAGTATATTAGCAAGTCTTCTGAGATGCAAGATGTTGAGTTCCGCGAGCTCAAATACCAAGCCCTGCTGAAATAGCCCCTTAGGCTACCAGCGAATAGGTGGAGAAAAAAAACAGGTCAGAAAACTAAAAAATAGTAGGGAGCAGCTCAGCTATAAAATTAGCTCTAAAATTAGTGATGTCCATGAACACCGATACCATGGACACCACTCAGCATCAGGGTATGCGTCTGCTGCGCATACCAATAAAAACACACAGAGTACAACGTCTAAACTAATAATGGAATACTGCGTTTTCTGTACCAACGATTAGGCATACTGCAAACCCAGACGGGTCGTTTCGACAACCCTGCCTATTTTAGCCCCGGAGGTGGAGTTATTTTTACGGAATACTTTCGATTAAAGGCAACCACGTTCATGCTCATATGTTTACGGGCTCTAATAACGATTTAATGCGATTTCTTTTTCTTAGATGGGTGGACGAGCTCACAGCCCACCTGGTGTTAAGTGGTTACTGGAGCTCATAAACATCCACATCGTAAATGCGCCACCCACCTTGAGATATAAGTTCTAAGGTCTTAATTATAGTTACAACAACTGCCCCACCCTTCAAACCGAAACGCATTACTGCTTCACAGCAGAAATAGGCGGGGTGGTGTTACCCGCCCGCGCGGACTCACAAGAGGTCCTACCACCAGTAATTACGCAAATAATAATTTTGCGGGTTTGATTTTTATTACACGAGGCTATTCCTTCACCGTGGAAGTCAATCGTGAACCTTTGTTCAGTACGTATTTCCTTACAAAAACTGGTACCCGCCTGAGATACGAACACCGGTGCATTCGTGTTGCGCGTTGCACCGGTGTTCGAATCTCAGGACGTCTTATCCGTTAGGCCACGACAACTTCTTGTACCTTCGGACCTTCTAGTGTAAAAAAGCTTACAGAGCAAAAGCCCGTTAATGGTATCTCAAAAGTATAATTCCATGTTATTTTACTTCTAAAAGAAGACAATCTGACATGCAAAAAGTCTTCGATTAGCTTATCGAACGAATAAATCTTTCCCTGAATCCGATTCAAACGAATGAGCCTAAATAAATACGTAAAACATGAATCCGCATTCAAAATAAGAATGCAAAAGAATGATTACCGTGGACAACGAAATCTAAAATGGAAATCCAATTCTCGCGATCATTCCAATCGAGTTCCGATCAAAAACCTAAGTCCGTGACGGTACCCACTATAAAACACCAAAACAAAACGAAGAACAATCATATTCAAAAACAGAATTGAATTTATTATCGGGAACGAACGAGACAGCGTAATGATAAATGATCTAATAGTCATAAGACACTGTGAGTTCGAGAGGGACAGCGTATTTACGAATCGACGATACCGTCCGAAGGGATGATTTATCGTTTCTCAACAGGGATTGGCCGGGCAAGTACTTAAAAGATTTATAGATCCTTACGGAGCATGCGCGGTAGGAGCGTTTTCTTATTATAAATCTCACTCCTGCGTATGCACTCGCGATTGCCTTTCTTGGCTGTCTTGTGTAAAAATTAAAAAACATGTTAACATATTGCGCCGATGGAAGAATGAGCCGGACTCGGTTCTTGTTGGAGTGCATTCGAAATAATTGGCCGGCCGGTACTCGCTAACTTAATGTGTCCGAGCACGAACCAGTACGAATTATGATTGTTGTAACAAATTTTTAGTAACTGACTTCAGTACGGAGATGCGATTATTCGTTGCAACAAGAGTTTTAAGCTCGAGTGTACATCGTCGGTCTAATATATTATGTACTCTTATAATAATAATTATTATATATCCCAGGTCTCAACTTATTGCGCACGGTTAGTATTTGTTCAAGACTTCATAAAATTTCTCTATTTCTTTGTGCTTCTCATCAAATGCTATCTATGATTATTATAATACAATTATTTAGCATACTATATTCATTATCAAATATAACTAAAATTATTATTTTATTTAGAATTATTATTCCCAAACATCTATGAAAACTATCTAATAAGAAATGAAAATGAAAGAATCCATTGGAGCTACGAAATCTGTTAGCAGACATTTTTGTAATCTCATCGAATATAAGCCAACAATATTATTGTATTAGTATTGACTGATATTATATATACATATGTGTGCAAAATGTTATTATGGTTACAACACATAAACAATTAACGAGCGTACAGTAAGTAATTACGTATTACAAAGCAGGGTACACAAAAAGAAAAAAAAAATTAGACCGTCGTCGTGTCGCGCCAACGTGGGGTTGAGGGCCGGGCGGCGTGCATCCCCGTCAGAGATAACATCTCAGGCTGCGACTGACACCTGGCCCCGCCTCTCCGGACCCCTAGTACACGAATATTATTACCTTTTTTGCTTACATTGCTTACTCTGCAAGCCGACGAAAAGAATGTCTCAACCAGACACATACATATAACTTTTAGAAAGGTTTTTTTAACCTAAACTGGCAAACGAGAACTTAACCTGCAGATTAATGAAAAAAATAGTATAAAACAAATTCGTTGTCTGTTTCTAAGCCATTTTTCCTAAACGCCGCTGCAGATTTTGATGCGATCTTCACTAATAGAAACAGCGATAAATGACGAACATTTGTCTATATTATAAATATATCGCACAAAATGGCTGAACTACGTCGGTGCTATGTAAAAAAAAACTGATTTGCGTACCACCACCCTGCCTATTTCTGCCGTGAAGTAATAGTGCGTTTCGGTTTCAAGGGTGGGGCAGCCGTTATAACAAAAGACTTCAGAACTCATATCTCAAGGTGGGTGGCGCATTTACGTCGTAGATGTCTATGAGCTCCAGTAACCACAAACACCAGACGGGCTGTGAGCTCGTCCAACCCATCTAAGCAATAAAAAAATTAAAAAAACTTACATGCCTAATGCTGAACAAATAGATAAAATGTTGTCCTAACCAAAGAAACTGCGGGCCGAAAGCTATTCTTAACTTAAAACAAAAACAAACAACACACAAACAAACTCTTCATATTGTAATTCTAGGTTTAGTGGCTCAAACGGACCCGGAATGTTTCTTCAATAGAGTTTGAATTTATTTATTTAATGACTAGCTGACTTCCACAAATAATTCCAGAACAAAATTAGCCAAATCGGTCCAGCCGTTCTCGAGTTTTAGCGAGACTAACGAACAGCAATCCATTTATATATATATATATAGATACATTTTTAATCACGTACCTACCTTCATACAATTTGTAAAATCTATATTTTCAAATACTGAAAAGAATTAACCTAAGAATAAACCACGGTAAAATGGTTTTTAATACACTCATAATATTCATTTTATCAACAGCCATAGCTCAGCAGAACAACCGAATATAATTTACTTTTTTGTGTAA